TAATTGCCTTGGCACAGAGATGACACATTACTTCCACTCACATACAAATGGAGAGAACTAATGGCACAGCTATGGCTGGGTGCAAGAGGGTCTGGAAAATGCAATCTCTAGTTGGACAACTGCTACCCAGTGATATCTTCATACTAGGAAAGGGAAGCACAGAATTTTAGTGCAGAGATGATATTTTAGGCACATCAAGGGAGGTGAGAAATCTTCAGCTATTACACATTTCCTGCCCGTATATGTGATGGCCAGAACACAAAGACAGTGGGGGTGTCTTCTTTAAGGAGAGGAAGCTGACAGTTTAATGTCCCTGGCTTCTGGTGAGTTTCTGGTAACAGAATGGACCACAGAGAGGGAAATGGCTAGAGAGAGAGCAAGATACATTTCCACTGGCATGAAACAAAACTTCATGGGTCAAAGTGGATTTGATTTCATGGAAAGAGGCTGAGCATGGGCTGATATGAAAGGACCTAGCTCAAAATACATTCTGCTAGGGTGAGAAGACCCCAGGAGAAAGAGTCTATGTGGGGTAGTGTGAGATAGAGGAAGAGAGAAGGAATCTAGTAAGTCATCTGGAGAAGATCAACCAGCACCAATTAAATAAATGGCTTTTGCTCTTTTACCTGTCATCCTACCTCTTCTTGCAACCTGAAGGAGCCACATTAGTGCCATGGTCACAGGAGAGGAAGTTGGAGAAGAGGGTTGAAAAGAACAGACTGTGTTTACCTTCTTCCCCACCAGGGTTCTGCCTGAGGGTGAGGATGGAGTGCCAGAGAGGGAGGGTCGGGAGAAGCCTTCAATTGCATGTGACAGGAAAGTGTTGATTGATTTTGGATTTCTGTAAATACTTCAAAATGAGACTCTTCTGGCACTGGGAACCACCTTGAGATAGCAACAGGGGTGGAGAAAGGCAGATCCTTCACTGGTTTGGACAGCAGTAGTAGAGAAAATAAACTTTTCAGATTCTACTCCACCAAATTTAGTTCATCCAGTGTACCTTTTATGGTGACAATAGGTGACTGAGATAAGTTTAGACAGTGATAATTCTATGAGCAAAAAATAGTTTAGAGTGCTACTGAGGTGGGCTTAAAACTGGGGCAGTGCACCCAGCTAGAAACACTAGCAAATGCACAAGTCCTCCAGATAAAATGAGCTTGCTGGGAATGTACCCAGCAAGAAGGAGCCCAGGAGGTCCAGGGGCAGAGAAAAGGCTTGGGAGGCTGGAGTTCAGACAGAAGATGTTGCAGGGGGCAGGGAGTGGTGACTTGTGATCAGAGCTGTCGGCGGGGCTAGATTTAATAGTCTCCAAGGCAAGAAGAGAGATTTTAGCCTACATGCAGTTTAGCCACTATGGAGTGTAAAGAAGGAAATGAATCCCCTGATATGATTTATGTTTTTAAACGTCTCAAAATGTTCCTTCTATTGTAAGAAAATAAATATATAAATTGTATATAAATACTAAAAATATTTTATATTTGTTTTAAAATGTACATAGACATCCAGATTGCCTCTGAAAACATTTATAACTTGCAAAATTCAATACACCTGTTTATATATATTTTAAAATAGCATTCCAATCTTATATGAGTATTTGCATTTTTCATTATTCTAAATTCTAGCATCTTGTGAATGTCCTTCGTATTTTAAAATTGTTACTTATATCACAGGATTTTTAAATATGCAAAAGTTAATCCTTATACAAAGGAATCTGGGAAATTCAAGCAATTTCTTTAAACAGACTTTAGCTGGCTACAATGTTCCTTAAGTACAAGCAAGAGAAAAATATAGGATACCTTATAAAGGAATAGTACCCATTGTTGAATCTAAAAGAGTCCACGTGAAGGTGAAAGACAGCTTTAGAAGTCACCATGTGCAGTGATTACTATTTTACTTGTGTTTCAAAAAAAAAAAAAGTCAAAACTGATTTATGTTTAATTTTAAACACAATTTAACCTTAAAAGCCTGCTCATCAAAGTGGAGGAATATGCCATGTGGAAGACAGAAAATAGCCAAATATTCCAATATTTTTTATGCATATTCACAGAGATTCAACTGACTTTGTACTTCTTTTTGAATATGAGTTATTTATCATAAATGGAATGGAAAGGTGACATGACACCTTAGACAAGACAGTTAATCATTTTTGTGGATGTAATTTTCTTTATTTTTTTATGTTTTTTGCTCAAAATCTTTATGAATTTCTGGAATTGTATATAGATAACATAAGGGAGGTATTCTAAGAATAAACTTACACATTTTGATCCTTTCATAAAATGATGGATGACACAAATTTCTTTTCTTTAACTTACTGAACATATCAAATACTTTAAAAATATCTAATTTTATAGAGTTAAGAAGTATTGATATTTAAAATATTAATCTCCTCCAAGGTATTTTGACAATATTTTGGCAGGAGGATACCTAAAACACAAATTATCCATATAATACCATTATTTTCAAGGTATCATTTAGGGATGTTTTATCTATTTAAATTTGGAAGAAAATAATATTCAAACCATAATGAAATTGAGAAATGATTTTTATAACATTCTAGTTAAATTTGAAATATTTTCTACAATACTAGAAATACAGCACAGTTTATTGGAAACTTAAAGCTTTTGACTGTAATGAAACACTCATTTCTATTGAGTCTTGCTATTTTCAAGACTCCAGAGAATTAGATTCCATGGATTTTCAAGAGACTGCAGTGCTGGTAGTGCTAAGCATTTGCTGATTGCTGTCTGGAAGGCTGCTCTGTGAAGGATTTTGAGGATGTGTTCAGATCTACTGGATAAAAGTGAATTGATCAGTTGGTGATACTTGCCCTGGAAGTGGCAAGGATGCCAAGAAGGAACAGTCACATAGTGCCCTGTAGCTGCAATCTTCATTTTCTACTCTTAAATTTGGCCAACCTTAGAATACTATGACACCTTTGTAACATGAGAGCATGCTCCTGTAAGATGGGCTCTAGTTCACAGAGAAATTTTGTTTTGTTTTGTGTTCAAGGCTTATATGTGATAATAAGATCTAAGGGAGCTCTATATTCCAGTATTTTATTACTTTTTAGACCAGGGTCTAAATGTCTAATAGGTAGGTCTTACCATATGAATGGGTCAAAACTAGCATTGTTTTTAAGAAACAGAAGAGAATAAATGATAATAGAAAGTATCAGAGAATATCACATGTGGTAGAAAAGCAGGGATTGTTTTGTGAAACTTTTGATGTGTATATATGAAACAGTAATGTAAAGTGAATTATTTTAGGTTGTGGTTAAAATATTTTGAAAATCATTGGTTTAGATCCCAGTATTTTTATTTCTCTGAAGAAGCTGTAGAATTTTCTTGAACTGACACTTATCTTCTCTGAAAAATACCTGAGTAGTAGACTAGGAGAAATGTGTAGGCCAAAATGCCTCATATCAATTTTTTGTCTTAAGCCCTTGGCAAAGTTTCTAGATTAACATATAGTTGATGATATTTGTTAATGCTGGCTTATTATTTTGCTTTGGTTGTTGATTTGTTTGACCATTGGAAACTTCTTTGTAGGCCAAATCCTATACCAACTTTATAAAATATGCTAGGTTGCCTAGGAAATTAGTCATTGTTCAGTATTTTACATTTTATGTTTTTATTTTTATTTTTTATAATTATGAGCATTAAGTATTTCATTTTAGAAATTTAGATGACTATTGTGAGAATCAATGATTCTAGTATCTACTGAAACTATTTTAGATGGCTATATTCCAGTGCATTTATAGTTAAAACTGATTTCTGATAAATTATATCGCTCTAATCTAATTGTTAATTTGTATACATCCCTGATTTCCATCTTTCCTCACCAGATGTTGCATATCACACAAAATACTGTTTCCATTCCTCTAAAATGTAGCATCTACCCACTCATTTATTCATTGCAGAGGTGATGAAGCAAATGTTCTATGAATTAGGTCCCCTGAAACAGCCACGGACAAAGCTGTGATGTCTTTCTTGCAGATGTGTCCCGCCAGCCTAATATTATAGTTTTTTTGTCACCCCTCTGTAATATGACTGAGAAATTTCAAAATAGCTCCATGTCCTAAAGTATATCCATCACCAAGCTTGATTTATGACTGAAATGTTCAACATTTTCCAATTCCATAGGTTAAGACATTTAGGCAACTGGTCTTTGTTAAAATTGAGATATGTGCTGTCAACTAATTATCTTTACTACATTTGCTTCAGTTAAAGTCTTTTGATATAGTGGAGATCATAGCTATAAAGAAATGAAATGTAAGTTATTGGCCAGGTTGAGTCAGGATGAGGATCAGGAAATGTTTTGGAACGTGAAGAGTGCCTTCTGGGCTAAGTGATGGAGCTTGGAAGGCAGGACAGGAGAAACAGGAATGGAAGGAAGAAGTATAAACAGAAAAGTACATGTCTTAATTTAACTGCTTAGTTTAGGTTGTCCCTACTACTTAACGCTAATATCCAGAGCTACTTAAAGTATATCCTCTGGATCAGCAGCAGCATCATGTGGGATCCATCAAGAAATATAAATTTAAGACCTCATTGCAGATCTACCAAATCAGAATTTCTGGGATGGCAAGAGAGGGAGGGCAGGAATCTGTGTTTTAGCAGACTCTTCAGGTGATTCTTATGTGTGATAAAGTTTGGGTACCATGGCTAGAGTAAACACTGAAAATAGTAATTACAACACTGGTAAAAATATTTTTTAAATGTAATTTACTAATAATTTTCTTTGCATTTGGTAACATGGATCTCTGTGTAGTATTTGCTATAGAAAAGAAATGTTATCATTTACTAAGACTAATCAAGTGAAATATATAAGGCATTAAAACTGATGAGACATATTCAATAGTGAATCAAGGCAAAAAAACACAAAAAACAAAACACGAATGTCCTTAGCCTATATAATAATTTCCTTTATGTTTCTTTCCATCGCACAATGACTCAACGCTGACACTAAAAGCTGATTATATATTTGTTCTATAATTCTAGGACACTGTTTGCATTGAAATACCTCTCTCTAATCCAAAAGATAGAATTATTTACCTAGATGTGCAATTCACAAGTCCTGCACTTGATGGAGACAAGAAAGTTATGCTGAATCCACTAGAATGTACCAGTTATGTTATCTGGTATTCTCCAGCAACTACAGGCTGTAGAAATGAAAGGTATGGTTTAAGCATAGCATTATATTTCATTGTTGATCCTTAGAAATTAAGCTTTTAAAATTAATTTGTTTATTTAGCTATAATTAAAATTGCAGTTGCTCATAGTTTTAGCTTTTTTAAAAATACTATTCCATGATAAGATATACCTATTTAGAGCTAGCTTTTGTTTGATGCAGTGCAAAAATATTATTTATTTGAATATCAGATTAGATAATTCCTAAATTTCTCCCTTTACTTTCTCTTTCACTTCACTTTTTACTAAGCAAATCATTATGGTTGCAAAACTCAAACCAAATAAAAACAATTCCACTAAGACTGGGGATTAAACTTTCAATTTCCTTGATGAAAATTAATTTATATATTTTTGATTCTAAATTAAATAAAAATTATTCACTTGAAGAATACAGAGAAAATTAAAGTAAGGATGTTGTACTATGCTGAAATGTACACACACACACACACAAATATTAGGGAAATGACAAGTGTTCTTATAAAATAATTGTGAAAACCTTTTTTTGAAATATATATTCTTATACATGCACACACAAAAACATAGCCTCTATGTTCATAATTAACTCCATAACTTATTAAAATAATTTATTTTATTTCTAAAGTAATATTCAATTTATTTATTATAATTTTAAAGACTATAATTGACTTACTTAGTATTTGTGTGTACAATGCATTCCATTACTATACTCCATGCAAATGTCCTTTGCTAGTTTATGTGTTATTTCAGAGTTAGTATATCTGTTTTTTTTTAATTAATTAATTTTGATAGACAAATGATATCTATTTATGGTGTACAACATGATGTTTTTAAATAAGTATACATTGTGGAATGGCTAAATAAAGCTAATTAATGTATGCATTATCTCATGTACTTAATGTTTGTGGTGAAAACACTTCAAATCTACTCTCTCAGTGATTTTCAATATACAATACATTGTTGTTAACTATAGTAACCATGTCCTAAGATAAATCTCTTGAATTTATTCCTCCTGTCTAACTGAAATTTTGTATGCTCTGTTCAACCTCCCCACAATCTCTGTGCCACCTTCTCCCACCACCTCCCCTAGCTCCTAGTAACCACCATTCTACTCTGCTTCCGAGTTCAACTTTTTAAAATTCCACATATAAGTGAGGTCATATGGTATTATTTGTCTTTCTGTGCCTGGCTTATTTCATTTAGCAGAATGTCTTTCATACTTATTTTAATTGGTGCTTCTAGCACAATATCCTGTAACAGAAACCAAGTAATTGTTATTTTAATGAATAGGTGAATAAATGAATATATCTGTGAGATTTTAGAGGATAAAAATATTATGATGTGAAGCATGAAAATAAGAACATAGCATATTATAAAATACACTATTTTGATAGATTACCATTAGAAATATGGGCTAGTTTTGTCACCCAATGTGACTGTACAGGTTTTGTGAGCACAGACTAAATCTTGAATTTTCTTTATCAGCATGTACCTTGTATTAAAAATCATAATCTTGGCTAATACTTTACTACATACTTCATTATCATCATTGGGACTTGTATTTTACATATATGAACACATAAAATCCACAGCAACTGTGAGAGGTAGGACTAATTCCTCCTATATTATAAATAATGAATTAATTTGAAGCTCAAAAAAGTAAACGACTTGTTCAAGTCTGTGCAAATAAAAGGTAACAAGAGCTGAACCAGCCCAGTTATACTTTTAGACTGCCACAAGCTGTCTCCCCCGGAGCTGAGAACATGCTGGTTATAAAGAAAGCTCACCAGAACTGCATGTCACTTGATAGCCTTCACATGAATATACACATGCATTCAACTCAACAAACTAAATTTGCCTTAATCTCAGTTAAAAAGCAGAACTTTTCCTGTTATAGCTCTTGCAAGACATTTAAAATGCTCATGTTTAAACATTTTCATTGAGTAAACAGGCATTACTAAACAGATATTAATGACAACAACACTGTTTTCTTGAATAATGAAGTGATTTTCTTACCAAAAATTTACAAATTTAAAAAATATATCTACAATAAAAGCAGAATGTGTCACAGAGTAGTTGTCGAGTTCTTGAAATCAAGTGCTTATACCAATTTGTGATATATTTTTTCTGCCAAATTTATTATACAGATTAAAACTGCTAACAAGATTTTGTATCTTTCTCTCTAACAGCATTATTTTTCAGCCTGAAATGTCTGAAGAGTTCTGGTATTTACTGAAATTAACTATCGAATTACCAAAAGCAACCATTATGCCAGAAATACAGTGTGACCTTGGCAAGTAAGTTCTACTAATAGATAAAATTATTTTATGCAAGAAAAAATATTAATCTGTAAGTGTTGTTATAATGCCTTTAATCTTTTAAAAATAAGAAATAAACATATTTCTAGTAATTAATTTTCTTTTCCACAGAAGGTTTTATATGTAAACTACCCTGCGGAAAACCTGTCAAAGTAAAACAAATCAGGACTTAGTAAGGAAAGGCTTTTATTCAAAAGGATTATTGCAAGGGAGAGAAAGGGACCATTGTAGTAGGGAGAATGCTCCCATCTCAGAAATCTACAAGGGTCACAAAATCAAACGGAAAAGGTTTTCCTCTTATATGGTACAAGAGGGACAAGGAGGGGCAAGCAGATACAAACAGAATCATTGGAGGGAAAGCTGGACAAGCAAAGGAAAATGATAGTGGAGTCTAACAACAGAAGGGCCTCATTGTGCTTCGCTGATTCCCAGAAGCAGCTGAGATGGGGGTCTTGTTAGTGTGTGTGAGCTTGCTTAGGTTTGGGGACAAGCAGAGTTCAGAAGCTGGTAGGAAAGAGAAAAGCATGAGGAAAGTTTGGTCAAGGCAAAGCAGACGATAAGCAATGGGCAACTGTGAACAATTGGTCACTTAGTTAATACCATGTTCCCTTGAGATATGATTATTCATATTTAGGTGGCTAAGTTTCTATTACATGTCTGGCACCAAGTTTGGTGCCAGTAAATAGGGATAAACAAGTCATAATTCCTTCTTAAGGAATATATATATGCTCTAATGGACAAATGAGTGCTTTTTAGTTAATTTCTCTCCCTTAGCACACCAAAAGAGTGTTGAATTCTTACACTACCAGATCTTGAGCTAAAACATCACTACAAGTGACTCATTAAAGAAGTGTTTCCAGAGAAAGCTGTAGGAGAATCGGGGAAGCAGGTTAAAAAAAATGGAAGAAAGTAAGCATGGGTGTGATTGCAAGTACAGTCCCAGCCTGCCTTATCCTGCAGAGAGGTCTGGAGTATAAATTATGTCTCAGTGTTTGGTCTTCCTAGAAGCAAAGAAACTAGGCTTTTGAACTCTCATTCTAGTTCCTATTAGCTTCCTGAGACAAGGCATAAACTCCTCAGCACTTCTGTTCTCTGTTGAGTTGAGGGGCCAGGACCCAAAGACAATCATTTGAAGGTCTCGGATGAGAATTTAACAGCAAGCAGAAATTAGAGGATGGAGCAGCTGGTAAAAAATCTACTAGGGGAACTGGATGGGGCACCAGCAGTGTCTGCTTCAACATGTTATTTACAGACTTATTTCTAGTTTCATATTTTCCTCTTGTTTTAAAATATATTAACATATGAAAACTATATATATTAATGTTAGAAATAAATCTAAGACAGTTAAATGAAAATTTTTGCCTCAGTTTTACAATCATTTTTCATTTCACAAAAATGTGCTAGCTTTTTCTCTTTCTTTTTAAGTTCTCTTGCTGTTTTTGAACATGTTTTTAAAACTTAATTTTTTTTTCAAAGTCATACTTGTATATAGCTAAAACTCACATAATACTAAAAGATATTTGATAATAAATATTTTCTTATAACTAGCTTATTCTGGATATTTATCCTCTTTGGAAGTTTGTAAGGTCTTTCTTTAATTGCATCCAGTGTCCTTAAAATTCATAATGATATGTCTTGCTGTGGCTTTACTTTCATACATTTTTCTGGGTAGTTGGGGGAATTCTTTCAATATGGAAACTTATAAGTAACAGTTTTTGGAATCTTCTTGAATTATGCCATCTTTCTACTTTTTCTCGTCTATCTTCCTACATCTATGTTTTGGATTTAAAGCTTCAGGGCTGATTTTGATGTTTTCTTACTTTTTTGCCCTTTTCCACCCACCCAAAATGTTTATCTTTTTCCCTTCAGGCAGAACTACTCAATTTTATCTTCCAATACTTCTATTGAGTTTTCATGCCTCTATCAACATCCAAGACCATTTTGTTGTTATTGTTGTTGCTCTTTGGATATTCCTTCTGTTTTCTGTTTTTAGTTTAGTATTTTTAATATAACATTATGTTCTTATTTCATGTTTTAATAGTTTTCTCTCATCTCTCTTAAGATAGTAAAGGTCATTTTTGAAGGCCATGATCTTTGTCTTCATGTGTATATTTTGGTCTAATTCTTTCCTATTAGAAACTTTCTCAGATGTTTGTTTTGCTCATTTTTAAGTGTGAGGCTCTAAAATGATAATCAGGAATTCTAACATCATCCATGAGCCTTGTTGACCCATTCATGTTGCTATACATGCCATTCTTCATTCATATTCATTGTTACAAAAAAAGATTACTTTTTATTTTTGATGGGCTTTTGAGTTTTTTCTAGCTTTGCTATGTTATGAAAAATATGGCTTATTACATTGTATATGTCTCTTTTTGCACGTTTGTTCTCATTTCTATTGGGTAATAAATGTGGGAATGCAATATTTGTTGCCTATGATAAAGATTTGTTTAAATTTAGTGGATATTACAAAGAGTTATAAATTGATTATAGCTATTTGCATTCCCAATAGCCATCTATAAATTGCTTTTGCACCACATCCTCAGTAACAAAGGCATGTATGACTAATTGAACCACTCTGTTGTGTGTGAAGTGCTATCTCATTGTATTTTAAATTTACATTTCCTTCATGACTAATGAAATTGAATAATTTTCATACATTTAAAGACCATTTTGATGTAGTCTTTTTTGAAGTACCTGTTCATGTGTTTGATCATTTTTCTATTGGTTTGTTTGTATTTTCCATTATATAATAACTTAAGGATCTCTATATATTTTGGATACAAACCATTGTGAGTTACATATGTTGCAAATACCTTCTCTTATACTGCAGGTTATTTTTTAAATTTCTTAGTGTCTATTAATGAAAATAAATACTTAGTATTTGATCAACCTTTTGGTTTTGTACATTTTTTCCATACTCCAAGGTCAGCAAGATAGCCCCTTTCATTTCTAGAAAAATGTATTATTCATACCTCTTATATTTTGATTTACCATCTATCTGGAACAGACATCTGAGTGTGATGTGAGAGAAACGTAAGTTAGAGGTAGTACAGTAATTCAGGACCAAGGTGATAGCAGCTTGGACCAAAATATTGACATTGAATGTGACAAGAAGTGCTCAACTTATGGTTTATTTTTGAAGGTAGATCAAAATTTGCTAACTAATAATATGCAAGCTATAATAGAAATAGAAGAGCATGCATGACACTAAGGTTATTTGTCTGATCAACTAGAACATAAAAGTTGACATTAACTGAGACAGAGAAGACTGACTACCAAAAAAGCTGGTTTAAGGGGTAGATATCAGGAGCTCAATTTAAGCCTGGTAAATTTGAGGTGCCTAATAAATATATAAATAATAAATAGGAAGTTTGATAAAAAGCCTGTATTGCCATGAAAATATATGCATTTAGTTGTTCCCAGTTCTATATTTGGTGTAAGCTGAGAAAAGTGAAGTCAATAGTAGGGCAATACACTTGAACTTCTAAGTCAGAGACAGCCTTAATTATCATCCATGGTTTGCCTTACAGATTATTATTAATGAATCTCAGAATGATAGTAGTCACTTAATAAATAATTGATAAAATGAAGTTAATTTAATTTAGTTACCCCAGGAACTTTTATATATTAGAGGCACCTTTGCTTTATGCATTTTATGGTAAGTGCTTTCTTTGCAGTGGTTCATGATATTTTCTCATCACCTGGATTCCACTTAATCTTTTTAAAACTGTCTTTTTATTTTGAAAGAGTTTAAGACTAGCAAGAAGTTGAAAAAACAGTACAGAGATTCCTTGTACCCTCTATTCTGAAATTAAAGTGACCTTTTTTTGTTTTGGTTTTTCATTGTTCAGAAAGGTAATATTATTTTAATTTTCCCTTTGCTATTCTATGTTAACAAGTTCAAAACAGTCTTGATTAAAACAAGATTATCATGGCTATGGAGACATATCGAACCCAAAGGGAAGGTAGTAACATTTTAAATTTGTTCCTAAATTTAATTTTGTTCCTAAACGATATATGCATCAATAATCCTCGATATATGCATTTATACAATCTACAATCTCTAATATTGATGAGATTGACTATTAGATTCAATTCAATTCAAAAACATTTTCTCAATGAAAAATGAAACAAGCATCTCTGTAGTTTATATTTTTCTCCTTGTTCCACTGGCAGTCAGTTATAGGCTACATACAGCTTTCTTGCTTTTTCCATCTTTTCCTATTTCAAATGCCATCAAGTTATATTAATCCTTTGCAATAAACTTGATTTTCTTTTTAGCTTTTCAAAAGACTTTTAATAAAATGAAAAGACAAGCCACAAACTGGTAGAAAACATTACAAAACATATAACTAATAAAGAACATACTAAACTGTCCCTGTTTTTCATGTGTTTTATTAGCAAATGTTTTGAAATAAAGTTCATTTTATTGTATGATTGCAACATGAGTTGACAAAACTTAAATTGTAGTTTCTTTTTATTTTGTAAAGCCATTGTTATATATATAATAGAAATATAAATAGGATTATATTATATTATGAGTTATAATCATGAGTGTTTTAAGCACACATTTTGGACCAAAATATATTTTATTTTGTGTTGAGACTCTGTAGCATAAGCTGAAATCACTCTTGAACTTCAGACTCAGGTCTCCATCTGCACAGTGGACATTCGTTTAAATGTGCCGCATACTCTATTTTCTCTCAGCAAAACTTCTTCCTAGGACTTTGTCTTATTTAACTGCCTTGCCACTTAACCAGACATCCAAACTGTGGCTTTCAAAACTTTTTTGACTATTACCCACATTAAGAAATCCATTTTATGTTGCAACCTAAAAGACACACACACACACACACACACACACACACACACACACACATTTGAAATGGGAACATCATGAGCAATACTTACTCATACCGTGTATGGTGAGCTCTGATGTTATCTATCCCATTCATTTTTTTCTCTTTATGTTTCTG